AGCTCGGGTGGGAAAGTAAGCGGCCGGCTGGCCCCTCCCGCGGACAGCATCATGATGTGGTAGAGGCCTTCCCACCACAGCATGTCCTCGTCACTTGGTTGTGCGGTGCTGCTGGTCGCTCTGCGTCTTCTGGGATCCCCGGGGGGGGCCCCCCCTGCTGCTGTGTGTCCAGGCTTGTGTCCGTCAGGCCTGTGTTGTTGGTTGCTGCTGGCTGCCGCTCTGCGCCTGCGTGGGTCCCCCTGCGCTTCTGTCTCAGTGGTGGGGGCCGGTTGCTGTGTGGGGCGGTCCTGGGTATCCAGGTGGTCTGGTTGCTGCAGCTGCTGCCCCTGCTGCTGCGTGATGCTGCCCCGGGGAAGGTGGTGCAAGTTGAGGACGCTCGCCCAGTCGGTGTGTCCCCCTTGCGGTGGTGGCTGTGCCGTGGTCTTTGGTGTGGGCTGTCCCCCTGGCTGCTGGGGCTGGCGTTGGGTAGCTCGTCTTCCCCTGGGTCCCGCTGCCAAAATTTGCGCCCAGGTCTCTTCGTCGTCCTCCTCCCTCATGCCAACCATCCACGCAACCTCCTTCCACGTCTGATGCTCTTCCTTGTCCCAACCCCTTTGCTGGAAAGCCCGTTGTACAGCGGACTTAAACCGCTTTCCTCTCATTCGCTGGTCGCCTTGCCCCTCGTGGTAGGGTTTGGAAGGGCCCCCCGTGGGTCTGCCGTCTGCTTCTCCCCCGTCATCGAGTTCTTGGTCGGGTGCTATGGTGGTGGGTTGCTCTGTGCCCCCCCTGGGCTGTTGCTGGGTGGGGGGTGCCGGTGTGACTGCTTGTGGCGGCTGGTGACGTGGTGGTCGGTTGTCTGGTGGCTGTGTCACGGCTGGTCTCTGTCCTTGTTGCTGTTGGTGCGTTGCTCCCCCCACGGCTGTGGTTAGGGTCTCCTGCGCATTTTGTGGGGGCTGCTGTGCAGGTACATCTGCTGTGCTGGTGGCTGCCGGCGTCTCCTGGGGTGTCCCCCTGCCTGCTGTGGAGAGGTGGCGCTGATTGATCGGCTGTTCCGGCTGGCCGGTGTGTCCGTCGTGCGGCGGTTGGGGTTTGCCAGGTGCGTCGGAGGGTGTCCCCTCCGGCTCCGGTGGCAGGTGGTGTTGCGTCTGGGCCGGGTGCTGCTGGCTGGGAGCGCTCTGCTGCGTGGCTGTGGCGTGTCTGGAGAGGGATCTCCCCCATCGGTTGCGGATGGGTGGCTGGCTGGGCTGTTCTTCTTGACAGTGCGTCGGCACTTGCTGTTGGTGGATTGCTTCCACTGCTGCTGCTGCGAAGGGCAGGGTTTGTTCGCACTGGGCCGGGGGGTGGTACGTGAGGGTGTATCCCCACTGGTTGTGTCCTGGAGGCAGCGTGTACGTCACGGTCTGAGGCGGCGTCCCTGGTTGGTACTGGAGCTGCTGCGGGGTGGGCTGGCAGACTGGTATCGCCGTGGGGGTTGGCTGGGGGTCCAGCTCGTCTTCCCATGGGTCGTAGGGGTGCTGGTATGGTTGGTGGTGTGTGTGGTCCCCGGCTTGTGCCACCGGTTGCGGCTGAAGGGTTGCTCTTGCTGGTGTTGCCTGCGTCGTCGCGGCTGCTGCGGTAGATGTGCTGGGGTCGTCTGCTGTCGCCCACGGGTCGGTGTCGGGGTCGTACTGCGGGGCGTAGAATCCCCACAGGTCTTTCGGGCTTCTGCCGGGTTGCCAGCCTCGTGGGTGTGCTGTGTGGCTCGGTTGGCCGACTGTGGCCTGTCCCCCCCAGTGCCCTGTTCTGCTTGCTGGGTCCTGGGCTGTCGCCTGGCTGTGGCCTCCTCCTGCAGGGTGCTGTGGTGCGGGGTGCTGCGGCTCTTCTGCCTGGAGGTGCGCCGTGGTGTCCTCCCAGCCTGGTTGTTGTTGGTGTTGCCCTGCTGGGCTTGCTGGCTCTGGCTTGGGAGGGGGGCTGCTGTTGTTGGCTGCTGCTGGGCGTCCAAGGGGCAACATCTGTTCGCGGGATGTGGTGCAGCGGCAGGGAGGGAGCGTGCGTGTGGTGGCTGCTGCTGCTGCCTCCGCTCTCGCGGGGGGGCGTCGCCCTTGCCGGTGGGGTGTGGTGTTCCTCTGCCGGCATTGCTGCGTCTGCGGCGTGGGTGTCCCCTTCGGGTGCTGCTGTTTCGTCCATGGTGACGGTGATCCATTCGGACCGGTCCGGGCTCGCTTCCTCCGCGGGCTGCTGCGCCTCTTCGTGTTGATTGCCCTCTGGGTTGGCCTGGTTGTCCGCTTCGGCCGACTGTGCACTTGTGGCTGCTGCTGGCTGTGCTTCAGCCGGGCTGTGTGCGTCCACTGTGTGTGCGGCTCCCTCGTCTGCAGCTGCGCGCCGGAAGGTGAAAGCCCACGGGTCGTCTTGGTTGCCGGGCTGCGGGGAAGGGCGGGTGGGCTTAACTGTGCCGGTGCCACCCAGCCTGACCGCCGTCAGGAGTAGTAGAAGGGTGAGCTTCCAGTCCCCCCGCGGCATGTCTGGCTCTGTGTGGCTGCAAAAACCTCGTGTGTTGCTCGATGTCTTGAGCACTGTGAAGATTGCAGGAGAAACACGGAATGGTGAAAAACAGCGCATCCGTCATGCATGCAAACGGCTTGGCACGACTCTGCTCTGCAGCTGACTGAACTGTGAAGGCATGTGCATGCTAGGCTCTCAACATGTCTGTCTCATTCGCTCTGGCATGTGTTCTGCCCCCCGTTGCGGTGTTCGGTGTGAGGTTGCCGAGACTGCATTGCTTGCCTGTGGCCCAGGGCACATCAAAGCGTTCCACGAACTGTCCCCCCAACAATGCCCACTGCCCCAGGTCCCTTGCTGCTTGCTTCCACTCAATGCCCCCCACTGCCACCACCTGTCTCTCCGGATCGGAGAGGGGGTTGAATTTGACGTGTGTCTGGCGCTCGCGTCGTGGCTTGGTTTTTTCCTGCTCCCACCACGCGAGGTCTTTCCATCTCAGCATTGCTCGGCCCCCTGGTTCGGCTCTGGCCATGTGTCCGTAGAGCTCCCAAGTGTGCTGGAGCTGAAAGGTGCTCCATCTCAAAACTTGGGCTTGGTGCAGCGCCACTCTGGCCCCCCGCATGGTCCTGATGCGCCACTCTTCCCACCTCTCGCCCGGTCTGCGGTTGGGATGCATCATGCGTCGGATCTGCAGCAGCTGGGTTGCGTTAATGGCCGCAATATGCCGTCTGTGATCGGCCAGGACTGCCCCCCCCCCACAAGGCCGACCCCCGCACCAGGGTTTGGTGGAGCTTAATCCTCCCCTTCAATTGCGTGGGGGCACAAAGCAGCTTGCTGTGTTTGTGGAACGCCTTGCGCGCTCGGTGGTTCATTTCAGCCACAATTGCCGCCACCGATTCGCCGAAGGTGATGGGTGACCCGAGGGCGGTGATGACTTCCCCCCACGGCTTGCATGCCACCTCCTCCCCCCCTATGCGAAACGTCGGGCTCCCCTGCGCTCGGCTATGGATGATTGCCGTCTTCCCGGGGTTGATGTAGAGGCCATGCTTGGCGAGTTTGCGTTCCAGGATCGTCAGCGCCGCTTGCAGGTGCTCGGCGTCATGGGACCAGAGGTACGTGTCGTCCATAAACGCCCCGCCTGCTTCGGGGGGGGGCGGTCCCTTCGCCGGGCGGAGAAGGTGCCGGGTTTCCTCGAGGGTCTCCGCCAGGCAGTCGGCGATGATGCGGCTAAAGAGCACCGGGCTGTCGGGTGAGCCTTGCCGAACTCCATTCGTTTGCGGTATCGAAGTGACCTGGTCCCCCACAGAGACGTGCATCTCGCGTGCTTCCAGCAGGCCCAACCATGCACGTGCCTCCCACGGCTGCCCATCACCTGTGCCCCCTCCGCCTGGCCTGAGTCCCCCCACGCGAGTTGCGACCATATCCCCCATGCTCTCTTGCCAGACGCTGTCGAACGCCTTGCGCACATCAAGCTTGACGAGCCAAGTTGGGACTCCCCACTCTTTTGCATGCCTTACCACTCTGCGCAGCACAACCAGGAGCTCCGGCGCCTGCTTCCCCGTCGCTGCCCATTGTTGCGGTGCCCCGTCCTGGATCTGTCGCCCCCCTCGGAGGAGCAGAAGCTGCGAAAACCACTTGAGCACCGCAGAGCTGAGGGTGATAGGCCGCGTGTCACTCCAGCTGGTGGGGTCCCCCACCGTCTTTGGCAGCAAGATAGTCATGCCATCGAGGACGGAATTGGGGAGGGCTCCCTTATAGAGAAAATCATTGAGCATGTGCAAGATTCTCCCCGACCACACTTCGTCCTGCATCGCTGCGTTGAGGAGTTCATGCGTAATCGCATCTGGCCCCGCCGCCTTGTTGTTCTTCCAGGTTCTCGTTGCCAGCTGTAGGTCGGAGACTGTAAAGGGCCTCCATGGGGTTCTTTTGCACAACGCCGTCAGCGCCCTCCTGGTGTCCCCCAGACGTCGCCGGGTGCGGGCTGCTGGTGCCCTGGCGAAGATGCCCTGGAAATGTGTCTTGAGCTTCTGCTGCCAGTCTTTTTCGTCCAAAAGGCCGTGTTCCCAGCCGACCCTGTGCTGGAGCTGGTTGAGGGCTCTGTATGCCCCCCAGTTGGCGCAACTCGCAGCTTTGACCAGCTCCCCGTGCCACGCGCGGAACTCTTGCTTTCTCCTCCGCGCTACCAGCTTCCAAAGGGCTCGGACTTGGTCTGGCGGTGCGTGGCGTGCTTGTTCCCGTAGCTGCTTGACTTCCCGGCTTTCCCGAAAACGCTGTGACGGTCTCCCCGCTTCTGTGAGACTCTTCGCGAGCTGGCTGAGGGCCTCGTGCGTGTCCATTTGCAGCGGCTGTTCCCCCAGTGTTTGCTGAAGGTTGGCCCCCTTGACGAAGCGACGCGCCCCCCAAGTGGGTCGGGAGCGGGACGGCATGTGCGTTGTCCCCTCTCTCTCTCTCTCTCTCTCTCTCTCTCATCTCTATCCCCCATCCAACCTGCCGGTCTGTCTCCCACACACTCGCAGACATCGAAGAGTTAAATCCGTCGCAGCCTCCAGCATCCGCTCTGCGCCGGACAACCCGTTCAGGCCTAGCCGGGATCGAGGATCCGGCCAGGCGGCCCGGCCACTCCAAGGACTTGAAGAACGAAGTTACCAAGACCGGGGCATACGATAAAGTCGCCGCTGCACAACTTCCACCTGCAGGAACACACGTCAGGACAACTCGTTCCTGTCAGTCAGCGATTGACTTCCATTGAACTACATCCGCAGCCGTCGACGCGTGGACTGCGAGAAGTGCTACTGCTACCACGGGTAGAGTCAACGAGTCCTGAAAAGCCATAGAGCTTCGGAAATCGGGCGTCGAAAAAAGGAAGGCCAGCTCTGAAGTGCACGATGCTGCATACTGATGTCGCTCTTGTTGGCGGATGTTAACTTGGGTTCCGTTCTGTTGATAAGCAACAACTGGAGTCAAGGGGTCCAGCTACCAGCTTTGGCACTGCTTAGAAGTCTTGAGTCGTGAGCGAGTCGTAACATGCCGCCGGCCAATGTCAATCCCGAAATTCGCCTATGCATGCCTCCATGATCCCCAAACCGTGTGGCACAATTCTGCTGTTCAACATCTGCGGCATTCCTGCACACAAGTGCAGGATTCAACGCGCGGTCTCCAAGCAGTTTGTCTATCCAAACCTGTTCCATGTAAGTTGTAAGGTGGCACTGCAAACCGTCATCCAGCAATAATGAGATCCCGACGGAATGGCGTGGTTGGAAATCTTCATGACCCGCCTAAGACAGCGAGTCGCACATCGTACTGCAACAATTCCACAGAGCTTGGCAACAAGAGCTTCCTTGAGATTCAGACGCCTCAGCATCAGGTGTTCTACCCTCGTCAACCACGTACAGCGTACTTCCACCTCCGACATGCACCGAGGATACTGTGCTTTGAACGGCTGGAAAGCACCGATCACCTTCTTCGCTGACTTCCAAGCCCTTGGGCCGGCCGTGGGGTAGGACGAGAGAAAGCCTCACGCCATCTGAGCCATCGCTGCAACTCTGGGCATGGCACGGCCAGGCACGGCCAGGCACGGCCAGGGAAGCTAGGTTGTGGACTTCAGGAGTCTTCTTGTGCTGAAAAGCCTTGGCTAGCGGCTAGTGCACTTGCTATCTGCGAAGAGCAGCAATGAAGTCACAAAATGAATCACAACATCGTTCTTTGATACTGCCACGCTACTCCAACTTGCATTTTACATCGTGGTGCTGACGACGAGAAGGTGTGCCAGCACGGGATGGTGACGACGGACATGCCGCGACAGCGACCCCGACTCCGACTATGAAAACGGCCACAGCTATTTCTATGACTAGCACTACGACTGCGATGGACTGCGACGATGACATCGACTGCTACTGCTACTGCTCCTGCTCCAGCTCTTGCTCCTGCTGCTCCCTCCTCCTCCTCTCCTCGGCCTCCACTTCACATTCTCGACGCCCGCTGTCGACTTCCGCAACCGCTGCCACTTGCACTGCGGCTGCTGCGACTCGTTTTTGCTGCTGAAAACACTTTCAAATTTGCGCTCCGACGTTGCTGCACCAGGCCGAAACTGCGAAAACTCGGGTTGTTGCGATGTGTTGTACAGCTAGATTTGTATAGTTCACTGCGATGTTAAAATTTAAACAACGAGGGAGTTGCGGGTTATGTGCGCCTGGGATGAACGGTTGTAAGTATGCGATGTGTCCACAAGATGCGAAATAGTCTGTATGTGCAGCATGTGTGTGTGTGCGCATAACTATACAAACACATATTATTATACATTAGAACCGACATGTAGTATGTATACATATTTTTATATTATATTACAGAGTACCGACATAGATTGCACATAAGACGGCATGTCATCAAGTTTTCAGCCGGGATGCGGCGGGGTGCTCTGGTTGCTCTGGTAACACGCAAACAGCTAAACAGTGGATGCCGACAATAGGCAGGGTGAAAAACAACAAAAAGATGTAGAAATAGACGAAAGGTAGCAAAGGAATGATACAAATTAGTTAGTTACATTTGTTTGCATTTACGCATAGTATGCAAACCTCCAAGGCGAAGAGCAGCTAATGCAGAGCCACTGGCGATACTAGGTTACTAGGACTGCCACCACCACCACCAACAACAGCACACCAGCTACCACTTCTACTTCTGGTCTGGGATACTGCTACGAGTACAGATCGTACTACTACCGCCGCGACGACGACCCCCTAAACCACCAGCAGTACCACCGGGCACCTCAGAATTTACAGGCGGCCGGGGCAGTGGCTCACATGGCTCCGACACAGTACTCTGGGTGGTAATCGGCGCGGAGAAGCCCGCCTGCCTGAGATTCTCAGGGATCTATATAGGCGCGGGCTTTACATGTTTGAGATTTGCTTAAGCTAAATTCAAAACCCTTGAGTCCTTGAGTCGAGGACCGCATGAGGTCCTTGCCTGGCTGACTTGTTCTCCTGTGTCTAAGGTCCCTGCAGGTCCGATGGCAGGAAGTAGAAAAGGGCGCCTCGGAGCAAGCAACCGATTAGGGAATCTGTCTTTTGCAACTCTGCCCTCCGAGCATGGCGCCAGTAAGGTGTTTCCTCCTCCTGTGCTGTTCATCCTGGCTCCGCACCCACTCAAGGCTCGTCCATTTATATGACTCCTTCCTTGCTGCCTCGGGTGGCAGGACCAGGGACAGGATGCCGTCCATGAGGCCCGGTCGCTGCTTCACGTGCACTGGCCTGGCCCCATGGTTGACTCCAACAGAACAGCATTGAGTCGATCAGTCGTCGCCTTGATGGATAGGAGAACGCCTTGGCTTGCGCTGGGCCGCTCTTCAAGTGCCCCAAGCTTGCTTCTGATCCTGGGATATCCACTGACCAGCCAGCAGCAGTGAGCACTGCAAGGCCTTGGGAGACATGTCTCTGCTCTTTGCAATCGCCACAAATCAGCTCGTGGTGGCACCAAGGCCTCTTAGTAGGCTTCGGACAGGCAGCATACGTCCGCCCGGTCCTGAGATGCAGATTTCCAAGCAAAACGCATTGAAGCCTATGCGAGTTCGGGAATTTGTGAACGAGAATTTATCCGAATATTCGATGATCGGTATCAGGCTCGGGAACCTTTGACCAATGGCCGAGACGGATTTGTACGGTTCTGCTGCCCAGCACGAAGCGAAAAGTGCCTTACCACCTAGTGCTTGCATGCATGTTTCCGCTTGTATGACAGTGCACATGTAGAGATGTACATGAAGCAGATACATATCCACTGTATGCCGACCTGAAAATGGATGTGCAGTATGCATATATATATATATACATACATACATACATACAGCATCGTCCTAGTACAGAGAGCAAGACAGCTTTCGGGCCCGAGCCAAATCCAAGAACCCAGGCCAAGCCCAAAACATGCTGCTTGAATCCTGGCTCTCATTTGTGGTCGGTCCCGTGCCCAGTAAAACGGAGAAGGAGTTGATCCTCTTTTGCAATTCTCTGTCGAAGCTGTTCCTTGTGCACCTGCGCGGGTTTCTCCTGCTTGCTGCAGGCACAAAGCGAGGGCACTTTCCTTGCTTCCCTCCCCAAAGGGGCCTTGTCCGGAAGGCGTCCCACGCCCAACTTCGAGCACTTGGCGTGAAACGTGTGTTACAAAACGTAATGTATATTCTGGTAACGCCTACCAAGTCTACCAACCCTTACTACCTAGTTTGGCCCCTCTGTGCGAGCAGTTTTGTCTGTCTTGCTATGTAATCTCACCGCAAGACTCCACTCTATGCAGATGCTCAACCCCCTGTAGGTCCTGTATGCACCAACTGTTCACAAGGCATGAAACAACGTACGACATACATAGGCCCCGATAACCTTCGCATGATTATCATTCTGATCATCATTATTACCGTTACAAGAGATATTCACATTATTCTTGTCAACACAATGATTAACAATCGCGGTCATGAATATCATTACTACCATAGATATCAGTACTATCATTATAAGCATTAGTCGCATTGCTATCATTACAATGATTCGCACAATTACTTTTACCCACACTATGAATGACAAGAATTATTATGACTATCATCACTATCATTTTTATCATTACCATACTTATTAACATCTTTAGGGGTCTTATCGAGTCTTACCTGTCTTATCATCATTGCCATTGCTGTCACCACTATCATTACCATCATTACTGTCATGGGCATCATTCATTTCATTACTATCTGTATTTCGGTATTACCATGTACGTCACTGTCGGAGTTGTGCGAAAGTTGCTTGGCAAGCTTTCCAAGGAAAGTTTCCGGGATCGTCGTCGCAACACCGAGGACATAGATGCATGCAGGCCTCGGAAACGTAGATTTGTGGAAAGTCAGGTGACTCAGCATGGCGACGATGTAGGAAGCATAGAGCACTGCGGCGTCCCTCCAGTCATCGGTGCGGGGGCTGCGTTGACTGTGTTTTCGTGTGAGTTTGTCGAGCAGCAGTCGCTCCTCGGCTCTTCTTGCAGCGCGTTGGAAGGATGCTGTATTAGCGAAAGTCAATCCGCGTGCGTTCAAGAAGGACTCCAGGTCATCGGACGGTGCTCTCCTGCGGTTGTTATTTTGCAGCTTTTTCTTCCAGGCCTTCCAGGCGGCAGCGACCTGAATGGCGTTTGCTGCCGTGGGCATGGCCGGGGGAAGGCAAAGTCAAGATGATGGCAGGTGCATGTTGTATTTGGACAGCGGCTGTGTAGAGTCTGGAGCGGTTTCGTGTGGAGGCTTGATGGAAATCGAGTTGCTAGTGTTGCACGGCGCCTGGTAGGCAGCCGGCGACCTGTTGAGCTCGGCGGCGACAGGCAAGGGATTGTTCATGACAACAGACACAGGCACATACGCTTGCAGAATACAGCTGCATACGCATTGCGGTTTTATGTTGTTGTTAGCACAGAGGCTTGTATCTTGACGGTGTTAACAGCTAAGGAATGTTCTTACGAGCGGCAAAGAAGTTACAGCATGTGCTTATTTTGTAGTCGAGGTTTAACGCTGCCGGTGCATTGCCAGCTGAGCGGGAAGTGATAAGGTTTCCTCATCTTGAGGGACACCTACAGTTCCCAACAAGTGCTGCCAATTCATCTGCTGATCCGTGTCGTCACGTGTTTGTGCGACACGGCATCGGCAAGACGTCACAGAAACAAGGAAGCGGACAAAGCGCGC